CCACAGTCCAGAGACCCCTCCTGAAACCTCCAGGGCTTTGGCAGACCCCGGGCGGCAGTCTTGGGCTGGCTCTCCTGTCCGGGCCCTGGCACAGCCTCCCTCATGCCTGCCCCAGGGGTGGGCACGTGTGCTCATTTCCCTTCTTGATAGCAATCAGCCCAGCCCGCAAAGAAGGGTTCCTCTCAGCTGGGCTGGGTTGACGCAAAGGCCTGGGATGGAATCACCATCTTACAGGGGCCAGGTCTCTCCCCAACGGCTGGCAGGACTGTGGCCTCTGGAGGAGGGAAGTGGTGCCTATGATTTTGCATGAAGCTCCTACAGAGTCAAGGAAAACCTCGAAGGAGACCCCCAGGATGACCCAGGCTATGCCTCAGTCTACCAAGGGCTCGCGGAAGTGCTGTGGTGGCCAGCTACCCAGATATCCCTGGCAGCCCCTTCTGAATGGGGAACTTCAGAACATGTTCTGAACATGTTCTGAATTTAGGAACATGTCCCTCCATTCCTCCCTGGTTCATCGAACAGCAGCAGGTGTTGGGCTGCAGTCACTGGGCCTCTCTGGGGGGCACACCCTCCTGCCTCCTTTGCTTTGCCCGGCTGGCCTCCCTGCCCATCCCAGCCTCCTCCCATGACCCCACGCCCTGCCTCTGGGGCCTTCCATTTCATATTCTTGCCTATCAAGGCCCTGGTTCCTCCCAACCTCCTCACCCTCTGACCCCAGGGTGCCAGTCCCTCAAGATCACCTCCAGGTAGTCACAGCTCAAGCCACCAAACCTCACCACTCTCATTGCCTCTAGCCCCACCTCAGGGGCTGACTTTACCTCTATTTCACAGAGAACACAGAAGCTATTGTCCCTTCCCACCACAAACCTGTGGACCAACCTGACCCACCCCACTGCACCTTCCCCACCAGATAGACTGGGCCACCCAGGCAGCCTTTCCCTGAGCTCTCTGCGAGGAGCCCGGGACAGCTGATGGGGCACTGCCTGTGCTGGCTGGCCAGCCATCTCGCCCACTGCTGGCTCACCTCCATCAGAGAAGAAGGAGCTCAAACTTTCATGTGGAAGGTGCACTCTGACCCTGTGACTCCTCTGGCTGCCCCATCCCCCTCTTTCCTTCAGAATAAAACTTCAAAGAGTCTTCTACCCTCCATCTCACCGTCACTCGCTCCTCAGCCCACTGCCAGCGGCTTTGCCTCACCACACACTGAAACCACTCCGCCAGAGGTCTCAGGGATCTCCCCGTCAGGAGTGGTTACACCTCATCCTCACCCTGCTGTCCCCTCCTGCCAGGCGGCATCACCCCGGAAGGCCGTCATTGTCCGATGCTGCCCAGGGGGTGCTCAGTCTTTGGGTTGGACTGTTCTGCTTACCTCAGTCCCAGTGATGTCACTTCCTAGCTGCATCAGCTCAGCTTCTCTGAGACTCAGTTTCCTCTTCCAGAAAATGGGACTAATAACAGTACCTGCCTCACAGTTCATCATGAGGATTAAATGAGTTCAGACA